GATACAGTATTCTATACAGTTTACCAGAATTTTTATATATATATTTTTTTCATGACAAAACAATCTTATATTATAAAATACCATTATGCAAGAACACGTGATTAACAAATATTATTTAAGATCATATTTTAATATTTACAATTTTGGAAGTATTAAAAACTATTATGGGTAGTATTTTTTAAATATAATATTTCTTACTTGAAAGCCACACATATATCAGAAAGAGATCTTTGAGAAACCGATGAGTTATTGAACATTTTGTTCTTATTTGTATTATTATAAACAACTGTATTATGTGTTGAATCCGATACAGAATTATCGAATAAAACATTTGTAACGTCAGTAGAAAATATCCTGTAAAAATGTGATGTGTAATAAACGTCTTATCCTAATATTAGTCGTATTCTTTGGTTTATTAATCATAGTTTAACTTACCCGTAATATTTGAATGCTGGACATTCACACGTAGCAAAATGATTTAATGATTTTGTGATAACACCAAGAAACTTACATCCTTCATTAGTCCAACCTAATATACCRTTCCAATATCTACACTAAAAATTAACAGTATTGATTTAAGTAATTAGTTAGGTAATTAATTAAGTTTTTTTTAAATTATCGTTTAATACTTCTAGTTGGGTATCAGCTGTCGATTGTAAAGGAATTTCAATAACATTTAATATATTCGATGGATTTAGTACTACACTTTCATAGTTAGATTTTCTATTATTCRTCTTCATAATATGAAATCCATATAATCCACTATGCCTGAATAAAATACATAAGAAACTTTCAAATAATATTATTATGAAAACACTCAACTGTTAAAATTCGTTTGATCTCTATAAATATAACTAGGTACGGTACAYCTTGTTGTGAATATAATATGAATTGTATAGTTTGATAAGGGAAATTTAAATTTCTATTATCAGGCTCAGAATACTTGGGATTACTCATCAATCAATACCTCGCAGTCTAATATCCAATAACTACATCTGTAGGGTAAAATAGAATATAGATATACACTTACATATCGACATTAGAGTCAAACATGTTTTAGTGGCTACGATAACGATGAGGAGCGAGAAGCCAATATTTCTGACATCCTATTACAATTCACAACCCCTTGTCCAATATAAGAATAAGACTAAATCATAATTCTATCACTATTCTTCATAGCAATATCGAACCTATACTCTTAATTAAATTTAAATTWAATTAAATTTTAAATAATATCGTGATTGTGTTTGTAATTTAAAAGCTAACGGCTAGAATCGCCAAAAATAACCCAAATAAAAAGTATAAATAATTCAAGAAATAAATCAATGCTATGAGCGATGATTCATCTATGATCTATGATGATGTAGTAAATAGTTATAAATATAATAATGTAGATTTTTACTRACTATTTTTACCTTTTGAGRAATTGACCTTTATTACCATACACTTGGGTGAAAAAATCGTCATAGAAATGAAAACCCATAAAACATAATGGAAACTCAGTTCTATGAGATGAAAAAAGGTTTTTATTGATCATAACCTGTATTTRAAAAAAAATGTATTCTTTAATTATGAATACATTATTACAGCACAGAGGCATAGCCAGAGTGAGGACTGAAGGGGTTGCAGTCTCCCTTCGAAATAACGAGAAAATTTAAAAATTATTTTAATGGTCTATGAAAGTCAATAAAAAGTAAAAATYTTAAAAYGTATTGTTTAAATGGAAGAAACTAGGTAAACCAACGCTGTTTAAAAATTGATCAGCCCCCTCCCTTTCTAGCCAGAAAAGTCCTGACTATGCCACTGTTACAGCAATAAATATTTAGAAAATGCTGAAATGAAGCATTACTACGTAGTATGTACAAAATWAACATATTATATATTTATATTAAGCTACATAATATAGATTYTATTCTTAATATACAAAGACATCAAACACACASACATATATAGTACTATGCATGTTTACAATTGTTTGCATGTAGAACGTTTTAATCAATTATTAAATTTAATGTAAATTGTTTTTGATTATTAGTTTTTAAATCAATAGAGAGGTATATTTAAAATTATCTATCATGATATGTTCATAGCAAAATACACCGRAAGCACATAACAAAATAGGAAATATTTACATTTAATCTATACTACCGAAAAAATCAGTGTTAAAACTGTTGAACATATTTTAACAATTAGAGCTGAAGTTTAAACGTAGTACGTATATTTAATTTTTTTCTAAAGATAGAGGTGTTCGTARTGGGTCAAATTTGTTTCTCAAGTCTTATTGATTTTTGGATTTTAAAGTTATTTTTTATGATTTTCTTGTAAACACAAATAAACCAAATCAATCATCAACATGGACAACACAATTAAAATAATACATGTCTATGCAC